AATTAAACTTACCATGTCCTAAGTGAAACCCACCCAATTTTAGCTACCGACAGATGGGAGTGGGGTGGTGAGCAGCTTGCCTGCCTCTGCTCAACACCCCGCACTCTGTGGCAAGGATGCCCATCAGAACACTCCACCCACTCACAGGGCACAAAGCCCTTCCAGGCAGAAGAGGTTGGCTGGGAAAACCAAACCTCTCAACCACAGAACAAGCCCACACCACCAGTGGACACACCAGATCCTCTGTGTTGATTGTTAGAAATCGTGTTCCCACTTAGGGAAAATGAGTGATGATGAGAGAACATTTAGAGAACCAAAGAAATTGAAACTAGATAAAGTTCTAAACAAATCATGAAAGAACTTAGAAGATACTTCGTCCATGACAAAAAAATAACGCTACAGAAAAACAGAAAATCTGTACAGCAGACAGTGAAGTGGTTGAAACTTATGTCCAAAACAAAAGGTTAACTGTAAATGAAAAGAATTTTAGAATGAGTAGGAATTAATATATAGTTATTCTGGAATTTAAGTCTAGTGAAATGTCTCAAACTTCAGGAAAAAAAAGACAAACTAGTTTCAATAAGATATACAGCTTAAGAGACCTGGAAGGTCAGCTGAATATAAGCAGAATCCAGCTAAAAGCAGCTGTGGGGAGAGAGAGAGAGAGAGAGAGAGAGAGAGAGAGAGAGAGAGAGAACATAGAGAAAGAGATAGGGAGACAGAGAGACAGAAAAAGAGACAGAGAAATAGGGAGAGGAAAGAGAGAAGAAGGAATGAACAAAATGAGAGAGGAAAGAAGACGTCAAGAATTCTATATTTAAGGAAAACTAATTTTTAAATGATGACACTACTTAGTAATTCAAATTTATATTAAAATATCAAAACCGGCCTTGATTAGACGTTGGGGGTGGAGCCTTTGTAGGCACAGTGGTGAACTCCAGGGCTACAAACCTCTGAGTAGGCTGCTCAGTGCCCCGGCCCAGAAGGCTTTCCACCAGCACACGGGCATCAAGGAGGAGCTGCTCCAATCCTACTCAAAAATGCCAAGTGAGGAGATGTACCCCTTCTGGTGAAGATAAGGGAGGCCTTAAGTCTGTTGCATTGACTGCTCCAAGTAAGAAGCAAGGTAGGATCACATCTGATCAAGACACTGTAGGATCCAAACTCTGGAGGAGCCACAAGAAGCTGAGAGAGTTCATGAACCAGAGTCGCTGGGACAATGGCTTGTGGGGCCTGGGCTGGGGCATGGAGAGCAAGTCTCATTCAAGACACTCTGCTCAAACACAAAGCCTATCACTGTTAACAGAGCTGGAATTATGGATGTACAGACAAGGCAAACCAAGCAGTGTGAACCTGCAGTGCGAATGCAAATCGTCAATGTGGACCAGGAGCATGAATTAGCAATGTATACCAGCAGTGTGGACCTGCAATGTAGACTGGCAGTGTGGACTATCATGTGGGCCAGCAGTGTGGAATAGCTGTGTGGATCAGTAGTGGGACTGGTGGTGCCAGCAGTGTGGTCCAGGATTGTGGACCAACATTGTGAAGTAGCAGTGGGAATCAGCAGTGTGCACCAGCAGTACAGGCAGGCAGTGTAGACCAGCAGTGCATGTGAAAGAAAGTGAAAAGGAGCCACACAGTAGAATTTTAGGGGCAGAGTTCCATTCCTTCCCCATTGCCTACAAAAGAAGATCTGAATTTCTGCATTTGGAATTTGATGAGGTCAAGGTCAACCACATCCTGAAGCAAGTTTCAGAAGTAGAAGAAAGAATCTGCCTAGTGACACTGACAGCCCAACTGAAGATGATGCAGCAAAGAGTTAGATTATCAAAACAAATATGTTCATGTTAGCGGTCTGACCTTTAACATTTCTTTTCCTGCACTGGCATTTAATATTCAAATTCAAATATTAATAAAATAAGAATTCTCAATAAAAGAAACTACACAGGAAAACATAAAAGGCAATCGATATAAATCCATTTTTGTTTGTGTTTATTTTTCCTTCAAACTTATGTTTTCAGTAACTACAAAAACAAATCATTACAAATTTATATTGATGGGCTTATAATAGATAAAGATGTTGTTTGTGATAATTACAGCATAAAAGAAAAGATAGAAACCCTCACACAGAAGCAAGGTTTTGAATACTATTGAAATTAACATAGTGTTAATCTGACCTAGATTATTATGAATTAGGAAACTAACTGTAATCCTCAGGAACAACTAAGAAAGTAACTAAAACACATATAGTGGGTGCTAGGGCTCCAAACTCAGATCCTCATGCTTATATCACAAGTGCTTTACCCACTCAGCCAGCTCTGGAAATTTTATTTTTAGTGGGTAAAAAGTAGAAGTGATCCAAATATCCATCAGCTTATGAACATGAACAAAAAATGCAGTTTCTATGTTATGGAGTACTATCTACAATAAAAAGACACAAAGCACTGACACATGCTACAGAGTGGAGAAGCCTTGAAAACACTGTGTGGAGAGAAGGAGGTTGGACACAAAAGACCTAGATCTGTGTCATTCTGTTGATTTTAAATGTTCATAATGGGAAACCCTACAGAGAGAGGCAATCCAGATTTGTTACTGGCAAGGCAGGGGCGAATGGGAAGTAAATGCCAAATGATGTGAGGGATTTTCCATGATTAAAGTGTTCTAAAGTGGAAGACTGTACAGAAAACCACCGAATTGTGCATTTAACATGATGAGTATTATGCTATGCAAATTATATCTCAATTTTAAAGAGTGGTCCAAAAATTTCAGTTATGATACCTTTTGAGGAAATGGTGCCTCTTGGTTCAGTTTACATGATACATTTGAGATAGATTAGAGAGAGTAAGTGGAAGTAGAACTTAACATAAAATAGATTGTGTTTTGAAATAAAAAATAAAATGATTGACAACTGACTATATTAAAATGGAAGGTTTCTGCAAACCAGCATTGTGACTGAAATCAATGAAGATGTAGTATACCAAAGAAAAGTATCTGTAACCTATGACAATGGGTTAAGATCCGGAACGTGGAAGAGTGCATTTTCAAAGAGGGAAAATCAACTGAAAAAGTACATGTAAGATAGGAAACATCTTCAAACTCATAGAAGAAATACCAATATTCAATAAGCATCTGAATGCCAAGATCAATAACAATTAATGAGATGCATAATAAAGCAATCACCAGACAGCACTGCATTCCTGCTTAAAAGACAGTGTATGTATTAGGTTCTCTCCTGTGGCCTACAGCCTGTCTAGCCACATGTTCATAGCCTGATACCAATGTCAGGTATAGGCTCCATCTTCTTACTACCATAATATTTGTGACATTGTTGCACCAGAGGTCGAATCTTGTCAGGCCAGTTGTTGTTGAAGCAAATAGATATAGTATTTAAGTGACTCCTAATAACTTACTGTTATACCCACAGATTAACGCATCTTCCAAGACTCACAGAGACGCTTCCTTGTGTAGCAGATGGTGATAAACAAAGAAACCCACAACTGGCCACATGCAGAGAATGAGAGGCTGCAGGAGACTGTCGCTGAACTGGACCCCTGTATCAAACTTCTGCCTCCAAAGGCTCGGAGATTGTTGCAGAAGAGGTGACGGAAAGATGGTAAGAGCCAGAGGTGTGGATGACCACAAGGAAACAGCTTTCAAGACAGCTGGGAAGTAGTTACTCAAATGAACTCACAGCAATGGTGACAGCATGCACAAATACCATGTAAGCTCAAGCTAGACAAAATCCCAGCACAGACATGTGGAAGTGGGTAAGAAACCCCAACCCTCCCTGAGAAGTATTGGCTGCTGGGAAGAAGAGAGTCAAGTTTTTAAGGGTGTGACTCTTGGTGGGTTAACCAGGCTTCACATCGAGGACATTGGGGAAACAAATTTGACTCTGTAGTTATACATAATATATAATGTATTCACTGTATAAAATATAAATAAATACATAACATAAACATTTACATATAAATATATGAAATAGAGTACATGAAACTAATCTGAGGACTAGTAGGAGAGATGCAGATAGGGAAAGGATCTAAATGAATCAAAATGTATTGCATGAAATTCACAAAAATTCAATAGAAAGTTCTTAAAAAGGAAAAAGGAAAGACAGCGTATGGTAAGCAGGATGCGCTGTGCAGAAGAGGCACTGACGTGGGCCATCAGGTGCAAGTACAAGTGGACACAATCCTCTTGCAGAAAAAATTGGCAGCGTATTTCAAAATCTGCATATTTAAATCTAGGAATTTCATGTCTAAATAAAATCCAGGGGATGGGGTGGGGGACCTGCACATGCACACATAGTGGCTGAGGAAGGAAGCTGGCTGCAGCCGGCTTATTTTAGCAAAAGGCTGAAATCCTCTCAAATGTCCATCTGTAGACATGGTTAGCTCAATCCATCTATAATTATTCCAGTGCAGCGCCTACAGTCCCTTTTCTTGAATAGCAAAAGAACTAGGTAATTTCAAGGGAGAAATTAATTTTCAAAATAATAACCGCAAGGAAAAAATAACATTTATAAGGGCCAGTGAGATGGTTGAGTGGGTAAAGGTGCCTGTGGCCATGCCTGCTGACCTGAGTTTGAAGCCCCAGAACCCACCGTGGTAGAAATAGAGAACCAACTCTCACAATTTGTCCTCTGACCTCCACCTCCACATATGCTGTGACACACGTGTCATACACACAATAAAAATGTCAAAAACTTTAAAAAGTAATACTTGTAACCTCATTTATAAAAGCAAAAATGAGACAAAATCATCTCATATACACAAAGATGTTTTCAACTACATATGCTAAAATGACTAGGTTAGGAGGAGAATGAAGGAGATTTCTAGTTTGGGAATTTATGTACCATTTTATTGATTACCTTTTTTAAAATTAACAAGTATAAGATTTATATAAAATATGTTAAAAGTATACTTATTGTTTATAAAATCCTGCTTAAATCTACTTTTAAATTTTGATTGAATTCATAAATAGAACAGGAAAATTCTTACCTTCCAAATTTTCAATTTTTTCAATGTTGTTTAAAGCTAAATTCAAATATTCAAGTTTCTTGAGTTTGCTAACATTTTCTGAAATACAAATGATGGAGTTAATGAAACTGCAAGATAAATATTTTCCATAATCAGTCATGAAAATGATATGGAAAATCTAAGGTTATTAGTTTGGTTAGCAGATGCATCCTTTTTTTCAAACTTCCCCGCTTATCAGACACTAGACTGACTACAACTTCCCTTTCTCCCTCCAGCCTTCTTAAGGAAACCAGTGTTTGTTCATGTCTCTACCTATCCCCTGGTCCACAGGGCTATGTTTAGGCAAGCTGGCCAGTGCACAGTACTCAGTCTCTCCTTCGTGATTTAAAAAGCTCCAGAACTTGAGCTTAAGCCAACCAGCCCATAGCATCTCCTGGCTGGAAGTCACATGGTACAGAAAAGGATTATACTCCATGCATTCCCAGTCAGCCCAGGAAAAGCTCAAAGGCCTATGCTTTGAGACTTCCTGTGTCTTTTTACTGCAGGATATTAATAAGGATAGAAGTCTTAATCCCATTAGTAGTTATGCTTGGTGGTGAGGGAACCTGCTGTAGGATAAGGCCCACTCTGTGACTACGGAAGAGAGAAAAGGAAGCCACTACCTCCAGAGACTATTGTACCTCAACTTATAATTTGATAAAATAAGTTTTCCTTACTGTTAAGCCATGGGGAATGGAGTTTTACTTGAAACCAAAATAAACCTGACATGGGATTATCTGTTTAAATAAATCTGAAAGCCCATTCAGGCAAAACGACGTGTATAAGCAAGTTAAGGAATCACTGTAGAATGAGGCTTGAGAAAACAACTCAGAAGGGGTTAGAGAGGTGACTCAGCAGTTGGGAGTGCTTGCTGCTCTCCCAGAGGACCCAGATTCAGTTCCCAGCACCCACATGGCAGCTCACAATTGCCCGCATGCATGTGGTGCACATACACACACTTAGGCACACACACAAACTAAACTAAATATTTTAAAACTTGTAAGGCATAACTAATATGGATGCTTTGTATATGCCATTTTATAGTATTTTTGCATATATTATCTTTAACAGTTTTGAATGACATTTATTTACTGTGTACATGTGAGTGTTGCGCATCCCACAGCACATGTGTGTGGAGGTCAGAGAACAACTTAGGGTAGTTGGATCTCTCCTTCTACCATATAAGGATCAAACTCAAGTGGTCAGGCTTGGAGGCAACTGCCTTAATCCACTAAACCATCTTGTCATCCTTATACATATTATCTTATTTAAGCTTAATAAAAACAATGCAAAGTAAAAACTATTGCTATTTCCATTTGATAAATCAGGATACTAAGATACAGGGAATCAACCCACTTGTCCAAGTAAATGGTAGAGGCAAAATATTTAGCTCCAGAGCTATGCACTAAATCATTATACTTCACCTTAAAAGAATGACATGAAAGATGACATTGTTGCTAATAAATGTGCATTTGGAGCAGTCATTTAAGTAATGCTTCTCTCCAAGATTCTCTGGGATATTATGAATATCAAGCATGATTTATAATCATCATACTTATCACCATTCAGAGTTCATCTAAAATTTAAGTCATATATAGGTATATATATATCCCCAATATCTGAGAACAACAATGTATACAATGTGTCATACTCAGGGCCTCAGTCTACTCATTTTAAAGATGAAGATTTGAAGATAAATTCAAGCGTCTCTCAGTAATTAAGTTATTTAAATATTGCTAATGTTTATAAAAGGTTCTCTAGCAACATCTGAGCATTCAGTTTGCAACAGATTTAGAGATTTCTACGTGCCAAGAATCAACATAGGCAGAGTGTCTAGTCTACACTCTGAACAAAAATACTCACTTATTACTGTTAAAGCTGCCACCTCACTGTGGGATACCTGTTCACAATAGAACTTCTCTTTCCCACCTTTGTTATTTGTGTAGCCCTCTAAATACTGGAGCCATCCAGTAGAAATCGACTCAAGAGCCATACAGGAAGAATTTCCTCAATTAATTCCTCAAGAGTCAAGAGGCTAAAGTGACCAAGAGAAAGACAAAAAGACGCTATGAGTAAAACTATGTAGGCCCTCTCGAGCATCTGGCAAGCACTAGCCCAAACCGCTCTAGGAGCTGTTGTCACCAGCTGCTATAAGCAGGCCAGTAGATTTCCTGTGGACCAAATCCCTTCTTAGGTGAAAGAAGCTTGGGGTTCCCAATCCTACGAGGCCCACAGGGGCATGTTGAGAAAGTTGACAGCTGGTGCCCACCTCACAGACTCTGTACTTTGGTCAGCCCCTAGATAGTCCTTGGTTCACACTTGCATCAAGGCTGAGCAGAACCTTCCTCCAAAGTCCATTTGTCCTACCCAGGGAGCCGGGGAACTCTAAGAAAGGCAGTTATTTTATAAATTTCTCCCTCAATAGCAGGGGAGCATATGTGGAGCCTAGAGAAGAACTTTTACTTGCTAAGTAAGTGGCTAAATGCCTACCGGTGGAGGCACATTGAGGAATCCCATTATTAGGATTTAAAAGTGTTTAAGAATACTTTGGAAGCAAAAATTTAAGCTTTCTCACAGCTATGAAAAGGCCTGAAATACTATGCTACTGATTAGTAATTGTGATGGACCCAGCTGTGGAGATTAAAATTTCGGGAACTCTTTGAGATCTGTACAATTAGCACCGTCTTCAATACTCCCATGAATAAAAGCTAGTGCTTTTCTCTAACCGCCTTTCTAATTGAACAATGTGCCAGACTCTAGTTTCTGGTAAAGTAAAAGATGCCGAAAATACTTATCTGAAGAAATATATAGTTTTACTAAATCTTCAAAGGCAATGCAAATCTGGGCTTTTTATAATTCTGGAGCCAGTATTCAGTGATCCACAGAATTAGAGGCAACCAGGCCACCAGAATTTCTCAGCCTCAGTAACACTAATATTTTGAGCTGAATAACACTTTCCCTGTGCATACTAGTAGTGCTCCTGGCCTCCCCTGGCTAGGGCCAGTAGCATACACATCTCCAATACACACATCTGTGGTAACCAAAAATGCTAGTGGTCATGGCTAAATGCCTTCACTGAGAACCACCATTCCTCACCATGAAAAAGTAGCTTCAACCTTAAAGCTGACTTCTGGGTTCCAGGGTAGCACTGTCTCTGTCTCCTCAACAAATTCCCTCTTTCTCTCCCTTCTGCCCCTACCTTCACTTGGGTAGCCTGGGCTAAGTGATAACATTAGTAACAAGAGTAGCTGGGCAGTAGCTAAGCAGTTATCCCATGGGAAGCATATCACTTCATGGAATCCTTGTACCTATTGCTAAATAGGTGTTGCTAGCCCCATTTTATAAGTCTCAGATAGGTTAAATGACTTGTCTGTTTTCACACAGCTTGAAGTAAGTGATAGAGTTGAGACAGGGTTCACAGCCAAGGCTGCCTGATGATAGAGCCTGGGCTTCCTTTTACCATTAAATTAATTATACTGTTGCTTTTACAAGTATTGATACTGCTCCATTTGGTCCCATGTGGCAGAACCCTATGAAAATTGTTCTACGGACCTCCCTTTTGTCTGCCTTTAATTCATTCTTATGGCGAGTGTGGATGCAGGGAAAGGCCAATTTATCTAATGGGGGGTGGGGGTGGGGTCTAGAGAGATGGCTCAGCAGTTAAGAGCACTGACTGCTCTAACAAAAGACACAGGCTTGGTTCTTGCATCCACAATGCAGCTAACAACCATCTGTAACTCCAATTCCAAAGGGTGTGACGCCCTCTTCTGGCCTCCACAGGCATTGCATGCACAGGTGCACTTACATGCAGGCAAAAGACTCATCAACATAAAATAAAAATAAATTTTTAAAATTAAAAATGTTATCTGATGGGGAAATTTGGAGAAGAGAATGGGCATGATCAGTCCCTCCTTCCTTTCTTCCTGGCTTCTGGAGTCTCCCTACTAGAGAATACATCGCATTTGCTCAATTCTGCATGTTAACTGACAGATTTATTCTGAGGCAGTAGTAGCAAGCTGTCTGGTTACAAGCCTAGGCTACAGCATTGTACTGAAAGAGCTTTATCAGTTTTAATGCTTATATTCTGATCTTGTCTACCTGACTCCTACATTTACCTGTCAATTGCATTCCAAACTAGAGCCCACTTGGTATCCCCGACTGAACCTACTGCTTTTCACTCAACAATATGGAAAAACGAGTCCTGACAAGGACTTTTTAAAAATACATATGTATTTTTAGAGCAGATTTATGATCATAGAAAACCTGAACAGAAATTACAGCGTTCTCATATGCCCTTTCCCCTTCCTGTCCAACCCCACTGCTGGCCTCCATTCTATTAATACTCTACACCAGACTGGTACATTTGTTAAAACTGGTAAACCTGTATATCATCATCATCACCCACACATTTACTCTTGGTATGGTACAATGTGTGAGTTCCAACAGATGTAAGATAGCCTCCAACAGATATAAGACGGCCTGGATCTACCATTACGGTATCACAGATTAGTTCTCTTGCTCTACAAGTCCTCTGTGCACTGCTATTCACTGTTCACTACTCCCAGCTCCTTGGAATCAGGGGTCTTTTTACTGTTTCTGTAGTCTTGCCTTTTGCAGAATGTCATAGTTGGAGTCAACTAACTATGAAGGTTCAGCCTGTTTATGCTGGCTGTTTTCACTTATACACATTTAGGGTTCCTCCAAGTGTTTTTGTAGCTCCATAGCTCATTTCATTTCATTTCTTTCTGGTCATTTTTGAGGTATGGTCTCCCTGTAGCCCCAACTGGTCTGACACTATGTAGACCAGGCTTGCCTTGACCTTACAGAGATCCACCTGCCTCTGCCTCTTGAGTGCTACATGAATGGTAGCATGTCCAGCTATTTCTTTTCTTTTTAAGCATGGAATACTATTCGATTTTTCTGGATGTACCATGGCTTACCCATTCCCCTACTGAAAGACATTTCGGTTGCTCCGAAGGTTTTGCAGCTGTGATTTTTCTTTAACAACAAAAAACTTTCTGGCATATATCCACACAAGAACTTTTAAATTCTAACATGATCTTTTTAGTTTTATATAGTGATGTCCAGTCATGGCAAAAGCATGATTCATCTCCTCCCCCTTTGAATCTTTTTAAAAGGTTAGGTCAACTTACATGAACCTCACATTTAACTCCACATCCAATTTAATAACATCCTTCTGGCACCAAGACCAAATACACATGGGAAGGCTTGGGAAATGTTCCACACACAACTACTAAGACAGGACTGTGTCGGTTTTACCATTCTTGTTCAATTATTGATCCCCTCCAACAATATAGCTGCATTTTCCAAAATTCTCCCATTCAAAGGGTCAAATAAGTCATAAGAACAAAAGAATAATACTCACCAATTTTTCCAATGAGGTTATTTTGAAGATAGAGAATTTTTAAATCCCGGCACCATTTGTCAATATGTTCCAGTCTTTCTATTTCTTGCTGATGCAAGGAAAGTTCCTCCAGGGAAAAAATTACACAGTCATTGTGTTCAGCATTCCGTCTAATAAGATCTTCTGTGACTGAAAGAAAATTTGTGGCGTATTATGTTCCCATCCCCATTGTTCATCATTGAGTTATTATGTCATTAACACGCTGGATTTTCTTTGTGGCTGTGTCAATTCTTCAGTCCCAAGTGATTGTTTTAAAAGGAAAGAGATAAGAAAAATGCTGCTTACCCTCCTCCATGGGGTTTGTGTGAGGCTGTGATGTGAGTCAAAGAAAAGACTCATTTGTCTTTGCATGTATAAGATCTAGCTCTGATGATAAAGCTTGGGTGAAAAACCCCGATGTTCTCAGATAAACCTTGACTAGATGTATATTTTATTCCTTAAACTAGTTGACTAAACTATGACCTTAGAAAATTTAAGATTATGTGTATATTATTTTTGTGTCATCCTTTATATATCATAACAAACCTACACTGACCTTCATCACTTGCTTAGGCTTTCTCATTTTTTCTGTCTATATGGAATATATCTCCATTCTCATATCTTTTTAACACTTTTTACAGTCTCATTTTCTTTTTTAATAATTATGAGACATAATAACATTAACAAATAAATTTTCCATCTGTTGTGAGAATTCTGTTCCTGGGGATACTAAGTAATGCTTATACCCTTTTAAGGTTCTAGGGTCAAACCAATGTTTGATTAAAGTTTTACTGGGGAACCAATGAATTTACTGAGCTTACTTACCAGACCAGTGGAACTATCCTTCTTGGATGTTTAACAGCCATACTTTGAGGCACATACTAATCTGGTCGGAGGGACTTAAAGGACAATTTTTGACCCTTGCCCTCCATGGTCAACTAAGTTCCAGGGGACTATGAACATCTCTCAAAATGTCCTGTAACTGTGGTGAGTCACCTCTCCTCTTGTTCAGGGAGGACATGGAGACCCCACGAGATGGACTTGAACCAGTGTCCAGTCTACAAGGAGGAGGGTCAACTCAGAGGAAACATTTCCTACATGTTTCCAAGTGAAGCCAGCCATGGTTGAGCAGGACCTTTGACTTATCTTCACATAGATGGAACTGGTAAAGCAAAGGAGCCAGGGGCTCCTCCCAAGCCCATGTGACCCCCAAGGAACAGATCCTCAAATGACCTTAGGTGTAAAAATAAATTGATTTATGTAGGCCAACTGGATGGTCTTAAACACCCAAAAGGAAAGTATAATCAAAGACTAAAGTGATCAGTATATTTCTTTAAGAGTTCAAGGGATTACACTTCCCAGGCATTAGGCCTAAATCCATATAAAAAGTTATTTAGACAATTATTTTTCATTGATGATTTTGTTCCTAATCAGAAAGTCCTGCTCAGATGTAAGACTTCAAATCTTGGTCTGCAATACCGTAGTGCTCACCTGTAGTTAAGGGAGACAGCCTGATAGTGTTCTAAAATGATGGCTAAATTTTTTTCTCCCCCTATCTAAAAGCCTTTTAGAGGGAACTGACACTGATTCTACCCACTCCAACAGTTATCAAAATGCCTGAAAGCAAATCCTGAATCCATCCCTGTCAAGTCCATCCTTAGCAGAGAGAAGAAAAATGAGAAGGAACCCAATAGAGGGATGCTTTTGGAAGCTCTCATCAAGATATTCTAATGGACTCTCATGAACATTTGGAATTTGCCCTGTTCTGACTTTTTTCTGGTTCCCTGTCTAGAACTCATAATGCTAACTACTCCTGCCTTTACTTTTCCTTCACATCCCCTATTCACCAGTCAAGGACCTTCTTTTCTCCCTACAGATAAGATTTATGCAATTTTGGAGTTTTTTAGATAGACCCACTGAAGGGATATGCCAGTTGCCTCACCCTGCATCCTTGTTCGGCATGAAAGAAGCCGGAGTGGTCGGTGTCCCAATTCCCTATCAGCAATTTGGGTAACCGCTTCAGAGGATGGTGTGATAAGAATAGGAGGTAGTAACTGGCTAGGCAGTTAGGGTAAAAAGACCCCAAAGAAAAGTAGCCAGTTTCTTGGCTAAAAGTCAAAATGTCCTTGGGCCTCTTAGCAACGTACTCTGTTCCAAAGGCCAAAAATGGCGAAAGTATTTGGGAGCTCTTATCTAATCCCTAAAAGATCTTAGGGTTACTCTTCAGAGGGGGGAATGTTAGAGTAGCAAAAAGCCCCACAAAAGAAGGAGTACATACAGTTATCAGAAAAAAAGTGATGGGGAGATATGGGAGGAGTTGGAGAGGAGGGAGTGGGCATGGATTTGATCAAAACACCTTTTATGCATGTATGAAATTCTCAATAAATAATTTTTTCAAAAAAGACCTACCTGTGTTTTGCTATATGGATGGAGGAAAAATGGACAGCTGACAGCTGTAAGAATATTGATATGAACGTGGTGGAACCATATCAAATGGAATGAGATCCACCAACTGATCTAAGACAGCACAGAGTCACATCTCATTGACAAAGGACAGAAATATGAAAACACCTCCCACCATTCAATATGCAAAGCCGTGCATCATTTAACAGTATTTGTTCATTTAGAGCTTCAGAGAAGGGAAGGAATGCTCCAGATCTTGGATTGCAAACATGAAGTAGCCCTTACTTGTTCTGTATCAAGGAGGAATTAACTGCTTGCAGGAAGAGCAGAAAGGAGCAGGCATTCCCATGCCTTAACAAAAACAATGTGTAGCAGCAGACTGTCAAGACCCAGGTCAGGCAAATGTGATGACAATGGCACCAAAAGAGTGGGGACAATACCATGGTCCACTGCCGGAAGAAAACCATGAATCATCTTTATAAGAGTGGCTGGAAGCAAAGAGGCAACAATAATGGAGAGATCTGCATTTTCTATTGCTGAGAAAATATTAATTTGAACCCAGCTCCCATTTTAAGTAGAATATATGTTTCATGTCCATCTCAGCAGATAATGAAGACTTGTTTGTTGTGATTTGTAAGGTGCCAGACATGAGTCTAAATGTTTTGTATGTATTAAGGTAATAATACGCCATTATTTATATTTGTAAAGAAGGAAACTGAAGCACCGAGTTTGAATAACCTGTCCAGGTCTTGGTCATAAGTGCTACAACTAGGTTTGAAATCCATAGGCCAATGCCAGACGATGTGCTCCTAACCACTGTGCCAAGTACCTCCTACATGAACAAGAGCCTGGAGAACCCTCGGGCTCCTGAATGCAGACTTGTCCCCTGAAACAAGTTCCTGATGGTGTCAGCAGCCGCCTCACCTCTATGACACATTCATAAAAATGGAGTTTGCTCTTTAAGACTATAAAACTGTGTATGAATTCCACTATTTGTGTGCAGTGAGCTGAACTCTGCTGCTTCCAGTGGCAGGAGATGGGGTGGCCTGAAGTGAGACTGTTTTAGAAGAATAAAAAGGGGAATGCAGTTCGAGAGATTAAAATACCACTTATGATTAATGCTCCTGCTTCTCTGAGTGAGTGCACCTCAGCTGACAAGCAGGGGTGGCTGCAAACCCAGTCCTGGGAAAGACAGGCCAAAGGGTCTGCAAAGGAGGCAAAAAGGGCAGCCCCCCCCCACCAGCCCTGGCTCGCTGGATGCACCCTGCTATGTCTGGAATGTTACTACTGGTTTATAAGGCAGCTTGTATACATGACTCAAGTAAAAGGCCCAAAACCCAACATGCAACAACAGAAACCTTCGTAACCAAACTAAAATTAAGGGTGTTAAAACGACCCCCCCCCACACACACACACATACATATACCATGTTTGGCTGTTTTGATTTTGTGGTTGTGGTTTGGTTTTGTGTGATGGGGATCTAACCCAGGACCTTTCCCATTAGGTATGTGATCTATGGAGAGGCTCCCCTAGTCTCCCATGTTCATTCTTCATGTATGTTAAATCAACTGACAATAAGTAGAGACAGTCAATTTGAGGATATAACAAATCTGCTATGTAAACTAAAATGTTTTACCACTATCCATAATCTACAAAAATTCTTCTGAGATGGAGGCAACATGTATTAAAGGTTGAGATGGTGTAACCAATATTACAGGAGCTATCTTACTGAGATGTGGGAATTACTCACCACTACTTATTAGCCCCTCAATGCCTACTGGTTTATTTGTGACTTAAACTTCAGAAACCTACAACAGAGGATTGTTAGATGCCCTGCTGCTCTTAGGCCTATAATACATGGGACAAGGAGATGTGTCCATCCAGAAACAGTGCCCTCCCTCTAGATTATGCCTGGATAGGGAAGGATGAGATTCATTATTCAAGGAACCCCACATCTGCTCTTAAGCTCCATACCAGTCACTTCCCAGAATCATGAAAACAGACTATGCCGTAGGATTTGCACCACCACACCCAGAGTTTCCAGGGAGCAACTATTTGCCAGATACTTAGATACTCTGATATGTAGGCTGGAGTGGGGATGTGGAGGAGGAAGAGGAACAGAGATACAGTCTGGGTAGAAAGAGAAGTGAGGGGTGAGACAAAAGATCAGTTCTTCCTTAGCCTCTACATTCTGGAGACCTCCAAGGACTCTGAGAAGGTTATACTAAATGTATCCTTTCAGGGTTCTATAGAAATACATTTGTTGAAGGGGGAACAGGTTCTTTATTTAGCAGTTTGACTTATAACATGATGATTGGATCATTACTTATATTGTTTCCCAGAATCTGTTTGAGACTTCACTTGATATCCATACTATAGACATAACCTAACTAACTGAACCCTTTGAGTTTTACCATCTGTGGTCCAGTCAAATATGTTCATGGGAATTCTGGTAGCTTCTTAAGCACCACCCAGTTTCCAATTCTGAATGGGCAGTGAGCATCCGCATGGCCCACCCAGCTACCTGGCCAATAAAGGCTCCTCCAGCTCTACGTCTCAAAGGCTTCTCCGCCTTTTCCAACTAAAGACTTAGAAGATTAATAAATTCCTAGCATCAAAAATTATCCTCTTGCTACATCTTGAAATTTTTAAGACTCTTTTACCACTTTGCTAATAATTTGTATGTGACTGTCTAAGTTTCCCTTTCAGAGTCATGTAGATAGATATTAGATAGGAATCATGTTTTT